TGAATCACTAAAATTAGAGCCTATTCTTCTTCGCTTTTTAGAGACAACAAATTGGTTTAGCAGTCATTAGAAGCAGGTCTTGGAAGCATCAATTGCATTGCATTGGGTCTAATGGTAAATGTCAGCGGTAAGTTACACAACAGAACACCAACGTACGGATGCACACACAGACCCACTCAGACACCTGCAATCCTACCGCCTTTCTAAACTGCGCACCTTTGCCTGAACATCACAGCCGGATCCATGTTTGCCGAGGTCATTCTGACAACTTGGCGGATTTCTTTGGCAATCATTCTGAGTTTCTCAAAATTTACCAGGCCATCCACTTTGGAATCATTTCCTGCATAATTGAAACACATGAAAATAAAAGAGTAAGAAATACTTTTTCAGTGGGCAATGTGTTTTTAAGTCCCCCGCAATATCCCTCCTCCCTCCCTGCCCTGCCCTTCCATCAACAAAACTGCTTTCGTAAAAACAGCAAAGAACAGGGAACTCCAGCAAAACACAAATGACAACCAAGCTCGTTCAGAATACCTAGCATTGCTCTTGCTAATTTATTTCTAAGGTAACAAGTATTAGCAGGAGGGAAAAGGAGTAAGTGAATTATGCCCAAATTCACCGGCATAGTTATTAAAATAATATAAATATAGAATTGACATCAAGAGCATTCACATTCTGAAATGAGTTCAAATAGTTCTGAAACACCACTACCAAGAAGTAGGCATTTGGAAATGCTGAAATTAACTGATTGTGAACAGAACGTTGTGTAAAAGGAAAAAAATGAAATGTTTAAACAAAAACCCTTGAAAATGCTGAAAGCAAGAGTAGGAGGTGTTAGAGCATCGTCGCTGTCTGAGAGCCACAACATGGAACGAAACCCTAGAAAACACTGCAGCAACAAGTTTGTGTAAGGGGATTATATTTGAAGTACTGTAAGTACCAGTTAGCACACTCACCTACTCTTCCACCCTAAACCCTAGGACAGCTGATGAAGACTAAGTATTGCTTTTAAAATATTAAAAATATGCATTTAATTTTTAACTTCTGTCTGGGATCAGCCTCTTCCATTATGCATTCAGAGTTCTATTTTATTTTACTCCTACAAAGGATGCATCAAAAGCATCCTGCTACTGGCAGCCTCCTTTTAGACATTCGTTGAATCACGGAGCACTGCAGAAAGGACTAAAGGAATGCTTACTTTATTATTTTTTATTCTTTTTCTACGTTTGAAGTTACCTTCATGTAGAAATGTGATATCCTTCTTGACAACAGGAAAAAGTGGAATAATTGGAGGCTGCATGCTCTGGCTGCTAAGGATGTTGCGGTATTTCGCCATGTTTCGAGATGGATCAAAAAGATCTTGAAGGTCTCGGAGATGCTTTTCGTACTTGCTCGGTAACTTTTCCCAAGTGCCTCTGAGACGTGCTACCGGTGCTAGATTTAACCCACTGCAAGGCAGATATATTTCATTATTAGCTTTTAGCAGAATCATTACTTTTCATAAGGAAGTGAAGGGTTGGTTTTTTTGTTTTAAGGATTAAATCCAGCTTTCCCAAGTGCAGCTGCGTGAACGCCAGGCTGCAGGTTCATCACAATAAACCCCTGCTGCTCACTCTTGTGAGCAAGTGAAAAAGAGAACTGTAGAAAGCACGACTGCTCCCCATTCACGAAGTACAAACTTCAAGTTACCCTGCCAAAACAATCTCTCTGTAGCACAGTACTGATGTCCATTTAAGAACCGCTTCTCTCCTGTAAAAACGTAGACCACAGTAAGGACAAAAAGAGTGAAAAATCAATGAGGCGAACGCATGGCTACAGTAGCGAGTGAGAAGAGCGCACAGCTTATCCCAAGCAAAAGCAGCAAGACTTAAGAGGAATATGTTTGCAGCATTTGTAAACGAGCACCAAGACTGAAAATCAGAAACTAAAAACATACACTAAAATTTCCTGTTGCGCTCTCATTTCTCATTAAGTAAAAATATATCCAGAATTGTTTGGATGCAAAAAAAAAAAGGAGAAAAAAATGAAAAATGAAAAATTTGCCACCAACTCTGCTCAAGAAATTCTGCAATGCCTGCAAAGTCCTCGTAGCTGCAGAGCTGGAAGGTGATACTCTCCAGTGTCTGTTGCTAAATCCGGAATCATACAATTACTGAATGTGCTAAGATTTTTTTTCTCATTTTGAAAGCTTCAAAAGCTTGTATTTGTTTTGTTATTTTGTACAGATATCTCCTTCATGCCGTTGTCGAATCACAAACAAAGCCTTCTCTCACGTGAAAAATCAAACATATGCCACCACACAGCTCCTCTTTGTCCATGCTACGTTAGGATGGTACCTTCTCATTTCATGAAACATATGGCACCATACTGATATGCAATGCAAGGAAAGAAAGAGAACCCCTGTGGCATATGCTAACAACAACATATTCCTCTGGAACTAAGGGTAAAACAAAACCTCTTTTATTTGCTTGCTTTTTTTCATTTTTTTTGACCAAAGACTGCTTTAGTCATGGCCTGATTAGACTTAATTGAGAAGGAGGAAGAGTCATGTCTCCACTTACAATAAACCATGAGAAATCAGGAAGCAGAATAGAGAAATTAGATCCAGTATCCACATGTGTATTCACCATGTAATGAGTAGCCACAGCCCCTCTGGTTGCCCAGTACCCTTTAAGGAAATTCATTAATTCTTTAATGTATGACTAAATAGAAGCCAATACCATTTGATAAACTGTCTAGACACGGAAGAAGATATTTTAAAATGGCATTTTCAAAGATAGTGCTGGTGCTGGGATACAGCACGAATCCAGATCTTTGTCTGATGAATCACAGCTTTTTCTTTTTTTTTTTTTTTAAAGTAAAACCTGAGTATAAGATAATTGCAAATAAAAGAAACGCTGTTAAAGTAGCAGCATCTAGTATAAATCAGAGGAGAAAGCCTAAATGTGCAAATGAAGAGGAAAAAAAAATAGAGAAGTGAGCAGATGACAGGAAAGAGAAAAAAGAAAAGAAAAATTAAACTAAAAGAAGACTGATTTGAGGAAGTCCTTACAATGAAAGGAAGAAATAAAGTAATCTCATCCTTGCAGATATGACTCAGTACAGACTCAAAAAGGAACAATGACTGAAAAAAAAGAAGAGAAATTGGGTGCCAGAATCACGGAAAATGACAGCAACGTTCAGGCAGGTTTCTGGAGTTCATCAATCAGCCCCTGCTTTTGTCCAAATCTTCTCTTTCCCTGCCAGGTAACAGTTAACAAAGAGCCAGTCACATCAACCGCTGCAGCAAGACTGAACTTCTGAGGCTGAGGAAGGAAAAGACTGCAGCAAAACGACATCTCTTTGTACAGTCTGGCTTTTGAGAGCTCGGCAATTCCCTGTAAACCACCCAGCACCATCGGTAATCTGCTCAGGATATACCTATTTCTTTTCTTTCCGTTTAGATTAACGGAATTGCCTTTGACAGCACAGATCAGACCTGACAAATGGGAAGTATTTTACCTTATAACCGCGAACATGGAATTGAAGTTCTTGCATTCTCGACAGTGGAGGGCAATTTTAATGAAATGCTTAATAATCTTCATTCTTTTGAGTTGGTTGGGCTCTGCTAAAATTTCCATGGCAACCCAGAACGTCTCTTGATTGATGACATCCTCGAACTGTTTCAGGTGAGCATTTCCTGTTTTGGAGTCCAGCTTATAAAGGTCATCGATGTATTCTGTGGGCTCAATATTGCGAAACAGCTCAAAGTCTCTCATGGAAAGCTGAGTGGCGACCTCAATGGTGCTCAGCTGCAGGAGGGAAATTTGGCTTTCTCTCAGTAGCTCTTGAGCATCCTCATCTGAGCATAAGGTCTCCGTCTCCATATTGTTTTTTAGATAATACCTAAAGAATAATTGAGTCACAAAAAACCATCAGAGATGCCCTTCAGAGGGCCTGTGAACACAAAGACATTGAACACTACCAGTCAACGTGCCCATCACGGACACCGCAGGGGTGTTCACGTGAGAGAACTGCCGCATTACTGCTGACAACCCGGAGTAAGAGGCAAAGACAGAGGCGAGAAGGGACAGCATAACCTTGGACTTCAGCTAATATAATATACCATCACTACAGAAATTAAAAAAACCCAGGGGTTTCAAAAGCTGTTTTCATTTACCTCTCTGCTAATACTTTTTAGACTGTACTCTGTAACATGCTGTAACTTTCACCTTCAGAGAAAGGTCAGTTACTTTTCCATTGGTAAATTCAGCACTGAAATAACATTTTAAATACACATTAGTCCTGAGAAATCTCTTGTTAATGTATTTCTCCATTTCCTACACAAATTTAGTGTGGTTTTTTACATAAATTTAGTGTGGTATATTAATATTTACATGAAGCACATACTATTCAGGAAATGAAAATGTATCTGGAAAATTCATTTCCACGGTCTCAAGCAGATCATTTTCAGATATACAGAAGTTTATTCCTCACAAATTCACTCTGTTGCCTAGCAAAGAAGACTAAAGACTTTTTTACTTAATAAATTGTCTTCTGGTATGGATCAGGTCATCAGATAAAACTGAAGGACTTAACATTTCAGAAACATTCCAGAAACATTCATAACAGCTTACATAAAAATGGAAGAATTTCTCTCAGGTATCAGTTGACTGCAACAGGACATCAGTGGGAAAGAAATTAATCGTATGCTTTAATCCTGAAGTACGTATGGAAAGTGTCAGAATAATTTTTGTCTGTCTTTCTTTTTAAGTGTAAGCCACTATGTAAGTTATCCTATCTGCTAAATTTAGTTGTCACCAAGCAAGCTTGCTGTAGTTTTGGGGAGGGTTTTATAGGGTGCAGAAGAGGAAAGTGAAGCAAGGAATAAAAGAGGAGAGGGAAGTGTAAGTTACTGACATTCACTTGCTTGTTCTTCTAATAGACCCCCCTGCAATGTTTCTTCTGTATATGTCAATCCTAAAAGGCAAAGAGTCCAAACCAAAATCACAAGGGCACATTTACCGTCCATTGAGTTGAATCCTGTCAGCCAATTTGGAGAACTGATCTGGGAGCCTGCGCTGTTTGATGACCCCCTCGGGGCTGACGGACACTTCGCAGAGGGAGTAGGTCTCTGGGGCTCCCGTCAAGTTGAATTCGTGGACGGCGTGACTCACCACCTCTTTTGCTGTAGTGTCTTTGCTGATGATAATGTAACAGCTCTGCTGATCTGCTTTGAAAACTCTTATTACTTGATCCGGAATATCTAAAATAACAGAGAAACACCTTTAATGTATAAAGTTACTTGTTCCTTGAAAAGACAGGAGGTCATTTACTGTCTCATTTGATAGCCAGAAAACAAGAAGCAGCTAGCAAGAAAAAAAGCCATGCCGGACTTGGTTAATTAAAATATTCATTGAAATTTTCATTAAAAGAGGACTCTTTGCCTCTCTGCATTTCCACAACTCAATTAATTCATCCTGTGACCACAGTCAAAGTACAAGACATCTAGGTATATTACTAAGCTGTACGCTATCCTTCTCAGCGTGTCTCAAACACTTTGGCAGCACCGTTCCTGCTTTGGCTCTCCCATCTTTGCGAGAGCCAGAACCAACACTAGTGCCAGGGCTCCCTTCCTGGGGACAGGAAAGCCAGCAAGCACACATGGATGGGCTGTGGGCAGGAGCATGTGAAGAGGAAAGGAGATTTTGTTGCTCCCATAACTAGCTGCAAGCTTTTACACTTGCTCTCTTACCCTGAAGGAACTAAGCTGCTGCCAGCAGTTAATTCTTTGGCTAGCATACTTATTTATAGCACGTTTTATGTATTATAAATGCATTAGAGAACAGCTTTATCTGAGGCAGCCTACAGCAGGAAATAAGTATCTAAAAAAACCACACGTTTAGGCTTCAGCCTGATGACTGGAAATAGTTCGCTCCATTAGTTTATTGCAGAAGGCTTGATTCTCTAAATAAAACTGATTGAAAAAAAAATACCAAGTTGGAGTGCACACCGATTTAAAACTCAGGGAAGCACAGTTTTTCCCCCTCCATAAACACTGAAGACTAAAAGACTTCCCAAGTTTTCTGCAGACCTGAGAAGGTGGGAGGCTCTCACTGAGCCTGCAGCCATATCTCTAGAGCCTGCAGCTATTCAAAAACCACGGCTGCAGCAGATGTGCCATTAATTCCTCCATCAGAGATTCCTACAGGGAGATGCGAAGGGTTGTTATTACAGCAGCAGCCTCCAAAACAGCCCTTCACGTCTCTCACTGTCATGTGACCAGCGATAAAGTGCCAAACCAATGGAGTGACGTATGAGACCTGCCACTCGAGAGGAGAGCCTGCAGCTATTCAAAAACCACGGCTGAAGCAGATGTGCCATTAATTCCTCCATCAGAGATTCCTACAGGGAGATGCGAAGGGTTGTTATTACAGCAGCAGCCTCCAAAACAGCCCTTCACGTCTCTCACTGTCATGTGACCAGCGATAAAGTGCCAAACCAATGGAGTGACGTATGAGACCTGCCACTCGAGAGGAGCCCCCGGATATTAATGTGCCGTAATTACGACTGTCACATTACCAGAACAGTCACGTCAACAGCCAGGGAGCAGTTGAATCCGAAAAGCTCCATGTGTACATTAATGGTGTTAACAAAAGGAAACAATCAATATTACGTACTCATTTCAGAGTTAAAATGGTGAGAATGCCACACTGAATAATTTGGGAAATGCCTGGACTCTTATATAAAAGTCACACTAAATCCACAGAAGAGATAAACATCCAAGTCTTGGTATTAACTTCACTGAAATCAGAACATACTCAAGGTATAAAAATCAAAATTGAAATGGAACTTGGAAAAAAAAATCACCATGCAACCAAAACAGTGTAACCTGTAAGTGACAGGAGATGCAAACTTGTGTTACAAGCACACGTCCATCTTCATGGTCTTTGCTTTTAAGCAGGTAAACATTAATAAAAAGTCTCTTTCGATGCATGGCTCAGCTTGCGACTACAACACAGAACACATTCCAAGTTTGCATGCACGAAGTTTTAGTTATACAGAGTCCAATGGAAGAACAAACTAAATCTCAAACTATGTTACAATCTAAAACTTCGGTTTCTATGAAAGGGATAAAAGCAACCTCGTTCCTTTACAGCAGGGTCACAGAGAAGTGCAGCAACCCGTCGAAGGTCATTCAGTATCTCAGTGGCAGAAATGGGCATAAAATGCAGGTCTCAGACTCAGTCCAGCACTCTGCCCTTTCATAAACGAATCCATAGGCTCTCTTTAAGGCCACGTGATTGTCTAATGCCCTAACAGTAACAACTACATCAATGCAACGTACAGAAGTGTTAAGTTTAACAGGCAAGCCATGCAACGTTAAGGTCTTCAGGATGCTATACATCAGGATACTTACAGTAAAACCCAACAGCTGCGGGCAGGAAAGAAAGAAAAAAACTGTGTCAACACCAAATCAAGATTTAGATATTTATAAAACTTATCAAGAGTATGTAGTACACCATCAGAAATAGTTTGGTTTTCTCTGCGATTGAAAAATGATGGCTTATTCGGTAGAGTAAACTTAAAGGTAAGAAGGACTAGTAATCCACATTTTGTATTATGCGGTAGCTTGTATAGTATTAAATGAAAATTCTTAGCGAACACACGTGTAGGCCTCATGCAGACAGCAAGAACCTGGATTTGCCATGAAAAGAGAACTTACTTGCTATGGATATTTGTGCTTGATAGGATATATCTATGTACATTCATTTTAAAGGGAAAACCTGCACGTTTACACAAACGTAAGTCATAGCCACAAGGCGCTTCATAGAACTTACACTTGAAATAGGGAAACATGCCTCTGACTTGACATGCTCACAAATAGCTGCACACAGCAACGAATACCTTCTGCAGCCAGCCCATAAACGGTTCCTACAGCAATGAACGCACAGCCTACACATCTCAGAACATTTTTCAGTTTTTCAGACATACAGTTTGATACACATAATGTCTGTAAAATACTGAACTTTAACATCATTACGTTGGTACCATAACAGTCCTGTCCTATTTGCAATACTGCTTGAAATACATATTCCAAGATGGACAAGTCAAGTCACCAGAAGTGCTGGGACTGGCAAGAGACAACACAGAGAAAGATGCAAACGGGGACAACCTGCTTCCACCTGAGCTCTGGTAACCTCCAGTAAATCAAATACACCCAGAGGTGGCAAAATGCACTTCTTTGTAAAAAGAAGGTAAGTTTCACGTTACAAAAAAGCAGGCAAGAGAGATTCAGGCAGTTTGGATTTTCAGCAGATCTCCAGTTCGGGGCTATTAGGGCTGCAAGATAAACAGGTAACTGCACTCGGCATGTTTGATGCTGGTAAAAGATGTCATTTTCCCTCTGAGGCAGCTGCCTTGTAAATCATCCTGTAAATCACGCTGTTATACCTGAAGGATTAGAGAAATCCAGAATGCTCGTTGTGGGCTGCAACAGGTCAGGGCTACTGGAGGAGAGGGTTCCCGGAATGGGCATGATGGCCAGGCTGTGTCTGCACTGCCGCGTCCCGACAATGCTGTCGTCCTGCGACTGGCTCACGCTCCCGTCACTGCAAAACAGGTTTGTTTCAGTTCTGTACTCCTTACGTTCATTTTGGGATGAATGCAGCTAAGAAAAATAACGGCACTCATATTTTAATTACACATTGCGTAGCCACGTCTTCGAAACAAGGACAGAGGAAAGTGTTCACTGGGAGAGAAAAGATATTTCTGTCTTGATCTGCATTTATGGGTAAGATTTGCTGCATTTTTAAAAAAACGTAAATAACATGGACTTAGTGACTGAAGATACAAAGCAACTAAACCACAACTCAATAAAGCGCAATTACTGTTTGACCAGAAAAGTCTGACAAACCTGAACAGCTTTGGAGGCAAGATGCTGAATCGGGTCTTGTCTAAAATTTTCCTGATTCTGTTTCTCCCACCAGATACAGTGTTTGCTTTCATTTTCTTGTTTCCTTTTTCACGGGGAAACATCTGTTCCACATCTCCAGGCATATCTGGGATGGAATAACGGTTGTTTTTCTTTTCTGCAATTTTTGGAATATGTGGAATTCCGTTCTTCTCTTGTCCTATCCTGCAGAGCAGCTCCTTAAACACTGTGAGAGAAGATATAATTCTTGTGATTTACCTTTGCACACTTAAACCTTCCCAGAGAATTCTTTTTTCCCCTCTAAACTTTTGCTTCCCTGCAGAAAAAGTGAACCAAAGAGTTACAAAGCAGGCAATGCATCGCATTTTCATTTTAATTCTAAGGGTGTGAGTCTTTTCCCATTTAAGTTTGGCTTTTGACTACCTTAGCAGAAAGAGTAACCCCTAAATGTTCAATACAAACGATCAGACATTTCGGGCAAGTAGTTAGTTGTCAGTAGTTAGCAGTATCAGTATCAGTAGTTAGTTTTCCTGTCTACTTTTGAAATTAGCACATATCACAGCAAATTTAATAACAGACCTAGCCTACTGTTACCCGATAGATAACAAGGAAATGTGTTCACACAGCAACATGTATTTATTGACTTTTTTGTGTGCATCTTTTATATAACTGAGTGCAGATGCTTCCTCAAGAATAACTGCAAGACAGACTGATATTTTCCAAAACTGTCTTTGTTTGCTTTTAGTACTACTACTGCACAAAAGCTGCCTCAGATTTCCTACTGCATTTATCAAACTAAGGCAATAAATTACCTATACTGACATTCCCAAAGATATAACTCCATGGAAAAGACAGTGTTCATGCACCTCGTGTTTCTTCCTACATATAAAGGGTGGAAAAAACCTGTTCAAATTTGTTTAGTATAAATATTTGTAAAACATTTTAAAATATTATTAAATCACTCAAGTCAGAAATTCTGTATTTTCTGTTAAAAACATTGTGATAGTGGGAGAATGCAGAACTGCACAGAGTGGATTTCTTAGATGAGAAAGCAACCAGGACTTCCAAAATCCCAGCCAAATTGCATTCTTCTATTATGTACTAAAATTTAAGGCTACAAGCCTTTACAGCATGGATTCAAACAGAAGAACAGGAATTGCTCATTGTCAGCACCAGGCTCTTAGCACACAAATAAAAAGACAGGATACCAAGTATCACTGTTGAAAAAAGCTTCAAGACGTGAATTCATTAAAATGCACCAAGGGCATCACCCTGAAATTATATTGGCTAGCAGGAAGTGAAGAGATTAGAATCCACTCGTAGATGTATGCTGCTTACATTTGTAACACAAATGAACAATCCATCACTGCCTCAGTTACGGTTATGCTTTACTTTACGCCATTTCGCATTAGTCTGGACTCCTGGTTACATGCTTGGTTTATGCTTTTTTAGAATTACGCTAATAATGAACCACCAGGATCCTGAAACATTTTACCTGCACAGTGATAAACAGAAAATAATAATTGAAACGAAAGTCAACAGTGACCAAAGGCAGGTAACTGGAGGAAGAAATTAAGAAAGGAAAACCATCCAAAAGTCTCCAATACAGCTACAGAGGAAGGAGCTATCTTGTGCAGTGCCTTGTCCTTTCTGTAGCTATGGTTATTCTGTTGCCTGAACAGGATTATGGAAAAAGAACAGATGGTTTGACTGAGATTTTAAAGAGGTATTTATGTGTTTATATTCACATTGACAATTAAAAGCCAACATTTATATGTCATACCGCTTTTTATATCCCCTTTTCAATTCTGGCTATAAAGGCAATTTATCCTACCGTTCTTACAGCCATCCTAAAAAGTTTTATGAAAGCCCAGTTTTACATTTTTGCTGTTTCTTGGCAAAAATATTTTGGCCCGGATCCCTTGGCTCCGTTTCAGCCATATCGCATGAAGGGACACTAAAGCTGCTTAAACAGTCATCTGAGGATTTCTCAGGGAGTAAAGAGCTGGCTGTGCTGGCTTTGTGCCACCCAACGTGCAGCCCTTGGCACACAAGAACTTATCTGAGCACAAGGAGGAGACTTCTGCACAACTTTTGGCTCCTGGAGCATGTTGGGAATAAGGGCAGAATTGTATTGCTCTTCTAAAGCCGGAAAGACTGGACTTTTTCTTCACAGACACAAACACACATCATCTATAAAGTCTACTCACCAAAAATGTTTGTTTTTACGGTAATGGAGAGATGAGTGTTGTTCCTTAAGATTTCCAGAGCTTTTACAAAGGTAATGTTCTCAAAATTCTGCCCATTTACTTCCATTATCTTTAAGAAGAAATAAAAATTGGATCATTAGGAAAACAACGGTTCATGACAGAGTTACAAATACAAAGGTGATAATACAGACACGGTAAGAACTTTCCAGAAGTTGCCGTATCACCTTTACAGTAGTTGCAGACTGAAAACATTGGTTGTAACACAACTGGTTTCATCGTGTCAGTGAAGTTATATCCCGTAAACAAGTCAGGACGTCCATTTTTATCTGACAAGTGCTTGAAGCAAATTTATGTTCTGTGATAACGTGACATTCTTGCAATTAGGAGCTGCACCCAAATCACAAATGGTGGATCATGAACCCCAGAACTGATAGGACATCAAAGGCCGGATCTTCACCCAGTGTGAACTGTCACTGCCCCACCAGCCTCAGCGAACTGGGACGATTCACATCAGGTAGGAATCCAACAAAAACAATCTGATGGCTTCAACTGAAGCGTATTTCTGATCGGAAGGTTTCAGCTAGCCTGGGTTAAATGGGTTTCTATTTGAGAGTTTTCAAAATATTTAAAAGACGTAAATATTTCAAAAATAAAATGGGAAAAGAAACCAAGTTGTGGTTATATCAGGAAACTTCTTCACAACAGAATATTAACCAGTTGTTTCCTTTTAGTAAACAGCGTAATCTTTTTGTTAAGAACGCTAGTTGGTTGAACCAGAACATTTTAAATCAACTTCAGTCTTCTTACCTGATCACCACGCTTAAGTCCAGCTTCTGCTGCTTTACTGCCCATTTCCACAGTCTCTACAAAAATACCAAAACCCTTGTCGCTGCCTCCAAGGAGGCTGAAAAACAGTGGCGAATCTCTAGAAGGCTTTTGCAGGGTAATTTGTCTCCATTTCGCTTTGGCAGCACAGGCAATATTCAGCAATCTGAGATGTCCTTTCATTTTCTGTAATACAGAAGACACCAAATGGAGCGCAATGTTTCTTTTACAAGGAATGGAAAAATAGCTGTGAAAACAAAAAAATCAAGTGCCAGAAAAAGGACTTATAATGCCATGAATCCAAACGTTACTAAATAAACTTTGGCCTCTTTTGCAGTAACGTAAAAATACATAAATGAGGTTTTTTATGGGTTTTATATCTAAATAAATATTTAAGAACAAATATGTCCATGTTAAAAGGCATCTACTAACTGTTACACTTATAGACTACAATGCATTAGTCACTGGTAACGCTGGAATATTAAAATGTGTAATATTTGAAAGAATGACAGTCATTCTTTTTTGCTCCTACCGTATCTTCCAAGTTCTTTTCAAATTCTTCCAGAAATCGAGTCATGGCAGGATCTCCTTCAAAGTCATTAAAATGATTGTTCACCCACAGTAACACCACTCTGGTAACCTGAAAAAAAATAATTTAAAAATATATATGTACACACACAAAGGTACCTATGATTCTTTTCCTTTAGGCTTTAAGGCTTTAATCTACAAGCAAAGAAGAATAAAAGGACATGGCAAAATAACACAGGACAGATTACTGCATCTAATAACAAACAGAAGCAGAAGACATTTACACCTGAAATCATCTTCTATTTTCCTTTATTTGTGGAAACAAATGCAAAAGAAAGAAACAAACATTTCTGTACCTAATTGGCTACATCACCCAGTACTTACTGGAGCACAAACCCATCTTCAGTTGACTCTTCCTTATGCTCTTTAGAAAACTTTTCTTTTCAAAGCATCCTAACGATCTCTTTAAAGAAAGTTCTAGAAAGCATGTTGTGCCAATGAAACACTTTCTTTTAGTAGAATATTCAGGTTGCTTTTTTATGTGCTACAGAGTTAGTACCATTCATGAAAAAGTCAGTCTGACAACTGCTTTATCCATTGATGTTATAAAAAAGGTTAATCTACAGTAGTTTACCTCCTAAAACTACACAGTTTCTTTTTATTTGCCAAGACCGTTTTCTTTTCCCTTCTTTTCTTTTAACACAGTAGTAGCCAAAATGAACAGCATGGAAAAAGGTAAGAAGAGAAGCAGCGACCAGAGCAAAAGACCTCAGACAATTCCCTATGCAAAAGAAAATAAAAATACAGCGTTTTGATAGTCTGTTTGGTTTCCATCAGCTCAAAGCCACAACACATAAAACCGCTAGCTAAGAATTCTACTGCCGTAATTTTCAACAAATTGGACATGGATACAAGCTCCAGACTATGAATATTTTTCATGTGTATGTGCATACAGTTATACAGAGCAAAACGTGGATCCATTTATGAAGCATTTTTATCAGCTGCACCTGTCTTGAACAGAGCTTATTTTAAGTAGAGTCTGTAATAAGCTGCTCAGACAAAATGAGCTCCATGCACTGAAATGCTCTCCAGTAGAAAAGCGTGGAAGACAAGCATAATGCTGTTGGAAAAAGAAAAACGGTACTTCCAAGAGACCATGAAGACAATTTTCCTGCATTTCTGGTGAAAAAGGATTTCAGAGACCAGCATTTACATCTTTAAATTAGACAGAAAACAGTATTTATCACTCTGCAGAAAAGCAGCAGTGTCATGCCCAATTTAGGACAGTACTCCATATGCATACAGCACACGGGAGAATCCTTTCTTGATACTAGTGAAAAACATTTTGCTTTAAAATAATTCATATAAAATAGCTGGAGCATAATCCTACTTGATCAGCAGTACAAAAAGGAATCCAGTTGGAGACGTTTTTACCAGAAACACTCATCTCTTAGACTCAAACCAACCTTATCCCTGAGGCTATCCACTGTGAACCATTCCAAGAGTTTATTTCCAACTTCCAGGGGGCTCGTTAGAAACGTTCTGTACGTTAAAAGGAAATCTTCGATGTAGGTTGGATCCACAATAGAATGTTCTTCTATCAAGTGCATGATGAGTCGCTCGGGTGTTGCCTTAAAAATTAAATGCAAAAAACAACTGATACCTCTCGTCACCACCTCTCTCTAGAGAGCATCTTAACATAAAACCACAAGAATGGTACACTCCCTTTTCAAATTTCAGTTATGGCAAACTCAGGAGAACGCACGCTAACATTTTTAAATCTAATCTTCAAGCCTGTCAGCCCAAATGTTTTGCATAGGTAATACCTGGCTAAAACAATTAGTAACTTCTCTTAATTTTATTTTTAAAAAGCAGTGTAAGTCCCTCTTCCAGATTACAAAAAACAGCTCAATATACGAAGATGCACAAAGGGTACTCCCAACTCAAAACTCAACATTCGTGCTGAACAGGTCTAACTTTATTAAAAGGGAGACGGAAGTAAATTTGCAAAATAATATAAACTCCTTCCAAACCAATTTTTTTTGAGCCAAGACAGACAAAACTGACTACGTGCTCTTGAATCAAACAGAAAATCTATTTATTTACTAATAAGTAAAAGTTTAATGGATTAATGGAAAGCACAGGAAGAAATTCACCTTGATAACTATGTGTCCCTTCCTGGTTCCACTGCGATCCAGCTCCCTGTGCTCCTTTACCATAACAATTTCTCCTTCTTCCTCCACTTTATGAGTGTTTTTTTCCACATGGTTCAGGATCCTCCAGTAGTCTTGCTGGGCTATACACACAAACTGCGCACAACCAACACGGGATTGTTAACAGATATCCAAAACATGAATGTATCCCTATCTCTGGGCTGCTTTGACACAATCACAACAGCACAGCATTTGATACCAACCCCACTCTGTTCTGCTAGAGAGAGAAAACTGGAAATAGAAGCCAAATAGAACCGGTCATCTCGTTCCATCTCCAAAAGGTTGTTCAAATGAGCTAAACACATAGAGGACAAAGCCTGTAAGAAGTGGGAATGGCTATTTTCTGTTTATCTGTTCTTACTGCACGTTGTTCGCACACACACCTCATGACTGGGGTGCACTAAGCGTACATTTCAGCACAAAGCAGAAGTTCCTGTTTCTCACATAACAGCGGTGTGAAATAAATCTCAGCTACTAAAGAGCACACAACTAACTCAACATCAGCTGAGCCCCGACCAATACTAACCTCCTGTTCTCTGCTCCTAGAATAAAACCATGCCTTAAGACTAAAGTAGTCAGTTTTCTTTTATTAGATGCTTAAAAATATGTGGCACTTGTATAAAATTATAATCTTACCTGACAATCATCTACTTTGGTTCTGACCACCCCATTCATGTATTGTTTGTCCAGAGAGGGAGTAATCCCAAAACTATTTCCCATACAAAGACTCTCACTCTTCCCATCAGGATAGCTGATTTCCACTGTGCCATTTAAAATAACATACCAAGAATCGAGCTAAAGGAAGAAAAAAAAACAAAACAAATTTTAAAAGTGAAGTTAATTCAACAACTTTTATAAGCTGCTCCAATGCTCTTATCTCAGAAAGGCTTATTCTTGCAGTCTTCAGTTGTCACCACAGTTTTGAAACATTTAATTCACTAAAAATGTGCACTGTAAGGCAAGCAACAAAGATGACTGAAACAAGAATGTTTTTCAGCATTCTTCATTCATTTCAGAACTGATTCAGTAGGGAGGAATGCTGATGAATAGACTGCTTTTTTAATCAGTGGGCCAATTGCTATAATATATTTACATAATTTATTAAGAATGTACAAACTTCCCCTGGGTACCCACTTGGTCACCACCAGAGACGAGAGGGATGACTTGCTGTGGCCATTCCAGACGACCTGATCCAAGGACACACAGATTTCAAGATAGTGATTCAGAGCACCTATGCTGGGAGCCTGACCACTGAAAATTTGAACACCCGTCTGCTCCCATTGAATATATATGGAAACCGCTCCTAATGTAATGCCTGCATTATTGGGTGAGGATATCTCTCCATGTTAGTATTCAAAAAAGTTTACGTTATAGGAAGTTATTTTACCAACAGAAATTGTATGTTCCTTCTGTGTCACAAATAATCTTTTGAAATGAACTTCTCCAGATGTTAGCACTTACCTGATAACACCACACCGAATGCTGTTTTATGTCTCTACCTGGTCACGTTTATGTCTTATTCAAGAGAGTAATACACAGGCAGAATATCCCAAAGGTGTAGGCTAAGGTTTGGGGATTTTGGGTGTGGGCCACAGTGAGTGAAGAATTCACTGACTTCCAGGTGCGGGAGAGGTGCAGAGATGGGAAACAGATTTTCCAGCTCTTCACGCCCAGGTGCCCTTGCTAACCTACTGCCCACAGCACTCAAACTGTGTTGTAAACGGTAACTTACTTCTTGGCCGTCTTCAAGTATGATGGCTCCTGCTTGCTCTACGACTTCAAATATCATCACTGAGCAAAGTTCTCTTCTCACAGACATAGTCATGTTTGCGAAGGCTGGGAGTTGATGCATAAATTCCAATAATTGTTCTGTTGGACAAAGGAAACATTGATATCAAGACTGCAAGGCCATGGGGTTCCCTAAATACCTTACCCTCCACAGGTATATGAGATCTCAGCTAAACTCATAGTAAAATTGCTCAGCAGTGTTACAAGCCCCATCAGTGCCTGTGGCTAAATGAGCCCAGTGTGCATTTTGTCATCAAGAACCGGAACTCAGCTCTGCAGTCTCGATGGCCTGATTGACTCTTGTGGCAGGAGTCGAGCTAGAGTCTAAAAGCACTTCAGCTTCAAACATGTAGAAAAATTAAAAATACCCCAACAGTACAGTAATTACAAGCTTGATAGGAGCACGAAATGCTTTTCCGGTGTTCAGAGAAGTAACCTGAAGCATAGCATAATGCAAATGTTACTATTAAACTAATGCCAATCTCTAGTTAAATGCAGCAGTAAATTATTTTCATCTTAAACGTTTTCTCGTTTACAATTATGTAAATCTACACTGCAGTAACAGTATATTCTCTCTGACATTTAATAACTAACTCAATAGTTTTAGGTGGTCAAAATTACCTTGCTATGTATCGCTCCCTTATATCAACACATACAACGACTGTAGTACTCAACATCTTATGCATATCAAAGATGTTTTTTAAAATAATTAGTTTCTCAGAACAAATACTCTCCCAGACAGCAAGAGGAGAAATCATTCAATTAACATTATCATTAGAGCAAAGTGATCTCTAGAAGGTATCATACATAGCTATGAGGATGTACATTGAACATTAACTCTCTGTACTAGATGAGGATATACATTTAACATTAACTCATTAAACCATTTTCAGACGAGCTTCTCTTAGAGATGTTATATGATACAGTTTTCCATAAAGACTTTTTTTTTCCTCCTCACCAATATCATCATCAGTTTTATCTGCAGGCTCTTTCTCAAGGCACTCTCGTACAACATCTCGCCCTAGAAGCGGATCTGAAGTTCTGTCAATATCTTCATCCTCCTCCTCTTCTTCATCTTCAGAGTCTACAGGTGCTTCTGGAAGACCTGTTAAATCAACGTCTCCCATCTCACTTTCTGTAGCCTACAAAGAAAACACCCACCAGACAAAGAGTTCAATGTCTTCAGTTTAATGATTTAAGGTCTCAGGTAGCTAATACAACAAAAGAAATTCTGTGACCAACAATTCAAACTTGAGACTGTAATAGCTCCCTTTCTGTGCACTAAGAAAAACACAGTACACTGAAATCTACAGATAGAGGATGGTACAAATACATACACTGGCATAATGCAACACCGTGTTACGAGAATTACGATCACACGTTCTGAAAACAAAATTAACATAGCAGGACATTTGTCCTCTGTGTTAACTTATATCCCTGCCCACCCCCAGTGAACTACAGGCAATATAAACCCATCAATATTAACTGTGTGACACAGGAAAAACAAAGCAGATTAAAGTGGTTAAAATGAAAGGGATTTGATCTCATTTTTAATTTTGTTATCATAACAGAGATTTTAATCCCGGCATACAGCAAGTATGTCAGGTGGAATATGTAAACCAGGGGGGGGAGATAAGGATATTCTTTCCTCTACTGGCTGATTCTCATGTTATAGTATTTACTCTTTCTTGTGAATTCATGTAAACAAAATGTTTTTTCACAGCTCGAGAGTCTGTACTGTTAACCAAATAATAATTCACCACTGGTTACCCAATTCCTGTAGATACATCGCTACTGTCATCAATAGACGGCAATACAGACATCACACTGAGCAGGCACACGAAGCAACAGTGAAAGAGAATGCAATAATGGCAACAAAAAGCAGAATCACAGAAGAATAATTTACAATAATTCCTTGGGTAAAGTTTAAATGATGTAATTGCATGAAAATAACTTTCCAAACAGATGGAAGGTAAAAAAAAAATAAAAAGTAGTTTCACATTTTCAATTTCCACAGAGTAGTTGCTCAATCACTTCTTTTTCAGTTTAAACCAGCATGCAAATAATTTTTCTCTTCAAATTAAAAAATCTGAACAAGATGTGTCACTGAGAAGTATAAGGCAACTATATAGAGACTTGCAGAAAATGGAGCTTATTTTTTTTTAAATGAACACATTGACAATATTCACTTTCACTTTAAAAGAAATCCCTGAGATTTTACAAAAACACGGATGACAAACTAACGCATCAAATACACTGCATGTTCACAAAACCTCCAGAAAAAAGGACTGGGTCCTGTCCAACCTGACTTTGAACACTTCCAGTGTGAGGCAGCCACAACTTCTCCAAGCAACCTCTTCCCACCACCTGAGGTCTCACCACCCTGATGATAAAAAATTTCTTCCTTATACTCAAGCTACATCTACCCTTTTTCAGTTTAAAACTGTTACCCCTCATCCTGTCACCACAAGCCCCGGTAAAAAATCTTTCTTATAAACCCCCTTTAAGTACTGAAAGGTCTCCCAGGAGCCTCATTCCCTCGTCTCCACTCGCTGGGGTCTTCAGTCTCTGCATGACATGGCTCCTCAAGTAAGATGGAGAGTGCCTTGGCATCTACAACAGCCAACTGGCTCAGGACCCTGGGGTGCATCTCACCGGGTGCCATGGACTTGGGTATGTTCCGGTTCCTCGGGTGGTTTCAAACCTGATCTCTTACCATGAGAAGGACCTTTTTCGCCCAGTCCCCACCTTGATGTTCAGGGACTTGAGAGATATGTGAAGAGTCCATACTATCAAAAACTGAGGTAAAAAAAATTGTTGAGTAGCTTAGCCTTCTCCATGTCACTGATTCTCCTGTCTTATTTATGGGAGAGAGACTTTAGTCTTCGTTTTCTGACCAATGTACCTGTAGAATCCCTTCTTGTTACTCTTCACATCCCTTACCAAATGCAGCTCCAACCACATCTTACCTTTCCTGATCCCAACCCTACATCTTCCAGGGAGCATCCCTATATTCCTCCAAGGACACATGTCCCTGGTTCCACTGTATGCATTTCCTTTTTTGCACTTTAGTTTGTCCAGGAGGTCCTCACTCAGCCGTGCTGCTCTGCTGCCTTCCTTGGCTCATGAAAACCAAGACTCATTTTAAGTGATTTAACCACAGCAGACTGCACTGCCTCCATCTTCCTACACGCTCCATGATGATCAGCTAATGCAAGCCCCGGCACTGTAGCAGATGAGCAGCACTACCTCCTTTTGCTAGACAGAAAAATACTGGGGTCTAGATACAACCTTGGACCTTTGAGCTCGTCCTCATTTTAATAATTAGCCAGTAAATCTAAGAAACCGGGCTGAAATGATTTAACATAAGTATTTCTTTCAGAGTAGGATAACAATACATACAGGGTTAAATCTGTTTTATATTACATCACTTTACTGGCTTATGTAGCTCACATTAACAGTTTTGGAATTAAGCCCAAGTGCAAATTGTGCTTGGAGAATCTCAGCAGCACATGATCAATACGGCATTTTATTCAAGGACTTCTCTAGCATTTCTTCATCAAAACAGCCACAATTTATATTCACTTTTCCTGGCATAATATGATAGACTACAATGCTAATTCCCACCTTGACAACTTCAAGCTCAGAGAACAAAAATTGAGGCTATAGGTTCTACAGAAGTGCGATTCTTTAAAATTTTCATAGTATATCCTATATAGGACAATAATATTGTCCTTTCATTTCTTGATAAATAAGTTTAATTGGATCAAGCTATGAAATAAGAGCTGTGTTTCAAAGATGACATGCAGATTGTTGACAAAACGTTGGTCAGGCAGTGCTGGAAGGAACAGGAAGGATTTTGCTCAAAGCTGTCTGCAGAGGTACTCACTCCTCCCAAGCATGACACCCCAGCTGTTTCCATTATCAAATATCAAAATCATTCTTCCTGGAAACATTTACGAACTACTAATTTACAAAATGAAACCAGAAGCTGCAATCCTCAAATCTTACACAAATATGGATTTTCAGGATTGGGTCTACAGGGCAAGAATATCTATTGAGAAGGCAGCAGGAGCAGACTCAAATGGTGTGTGTCACATACATCATCTGGAAAGGTCACACCACTTTATTGTCCAAAGACTTGTTTTCTATTGTAAAATCATGCCATTATTTACATAGCACTGCAGATGTTGTCAATTAACGTGTTTCAGCTATGTTTGCCGAATGCTGATCGTGGAGATGTCCTGTACGCTGGCCTCTGCTTTGCAAGCCAAAGACGTAAGAACTGGTTCTTGCAAACTTTAGGTGATAATGGTAAGTATTGCACTATTGTGTGTCAGAAACATACCCTGGCAGGAAAAAGCAAAATACGAAATGCCTCGTAAATGATTTCCTGTGCCATAATAGCTCCATATGATAATGTATTTTACTGCTCATGACTCCTGATGCAACCTACTATTAAGAGCAAGCTTTTTCCTCCCCTTCCCTCATGTCAATTCTGTCAGTGGAAAAACATCCAAGTCTTTTTCAGAATTGATCGAAAAATCCTCAGTAAGGTCCACTCCCTGATGCATATTTTATAGATAAACCATTCTAATACCAAAATGTTACCCACAATTGGAATTATTGCTCGACAATAATGTTGCTACCCACAAACAGTATATACTGCCAAAGTGATAAAGTTTTAAAAAACAAAACAAGCAAAACAAAAAAAAGTAAGAGAGAGAAACTTAAAGCACAGCACTGACAGAACTAAAAAGCCTGAAAAGACTCAAATTGGTTGGTCATTAAGAGAACAGCAGTACAAGCTACTGATACAGGCAACTAATTCATTATAGTGACAGTGAGACCCTACCCACCTACATCTAGAGACCTAGTCTGGGTTACCTACGTTACCCTGGCTCATCGCCTTAAAGCCTGTCCTGTGAAAGGGCAAAGAGACATGTTTGCATACCTGGTGAATTCCTTTTCCCTGAGGATGCCTATTACAGGTCAAAGCGGCTGTATAATCCTTCATTTCAACTGCTGTGTACATAACCACACAGCTTCCCCTACTGCTGTCTAAACACCGTAGTTCTGAAACTAAGCACACTGTCAGAAATGGGTTGAATGAAGAACAATTTTTCAAAAGTCTTAAAATTCACTTTAAGCACATTAAAGAAGTTGTTCTAAAATTGTAGGGAATAACCTACTTTTTTTTCCTATACTTTAAATAAAAAGGTCTACAGAGTATGACAGAAAAACAACTGCTCTACAGCATTTCAAGCAAGTTGGACTCTGCAATACATACATTTAGACATTTTACCACAAAAATACTGAAAGCTCCAACAGGGAGCAGTAACAGTACAGGATAAGAGAGCAAAATGCCTTCATAAATTTATTTTAAGTTTCTGCAACTAATTGAGGGTTTAATACAATGTGTTCACAGCAGTGCTTACAGGCAGGGCTCCTTTTCTGCTGATCTCACCTCGAGCTTTATGTTCATCATTTCCTGTTTAACATCCTGGGCTGAGAGGCAGCTGGAACAAGTGAAACCTCATGGCAACACTATCGATGAATACAGTGCACACAGATGAACGGAAACCCTTTCCAAATCTTAATAAAAAATGGTTTAATTCTTTTGTTTTACCGTTCTAATCATATTTTCCTATTCTGGAACTACGTTTGCACTACTTACTGCAACAATTAATGTTAAGATACCATTAATTCAAAAGGTCATTTCAAGGCTACATTAATCAAAATTATTCCAAAATGCTCTTCCTCTGCTGACATTAATGATACTGCTAGAGAGTTTGGCATGTAATAGATATGAAGCTGACTGCAAAAGCAAAGCATCATTTTCTAAGTACTTTATGAAAAGCTGCATTTTTATGTACCAGAAGTGCTTCCAGCTACTGAGCCAATAAATTAGTACTCAAAATGTAGGTTTATTGCGCATCAAAGAGATTCTCTGCCTTCATAATATCACAATGAAAATTGAGTTGTGTTGGTCTTTTCTTTCTGATCTCAAAATCTGTCTGTACTGATGTGTCACTGCAATATAACACTATGTTAAATCCTGTGCCGTGACATCAGTACGCAGCACCTATGCACACACTTAAAACTGGGAGACAAACAGTTAAACCTCTCCAAAACTGGTTACAGCTACTGCAGTAAAGCCCATAAAACACCCAGCATCTTTTAGCAGGTTATTATCTGCACTTTATACGTATGAGAACAAGATACCAAAAAAATCACTAAAAAAAAAAAAAAGAAGAAGAAGGGGGGAAAAAAGCCCACACTGGATTGCTGGGGATATTTTCCCCTCATGTCATGCCTGTTGTACATCTTACCTCCACCCACAGTTTAGCAAATGCTTGATTCTCCAATGCTTTCAGGGTTAGTGACACTGTAGCTATGATCATACATTGCTGCAATATTATCTTGGAATATCTCCCATGAGCCTGACAGCCTCAACGGACATTACCCCGGCTGGCTGGCAATTCCCAGCAAAATTTATTGATGTCCATGTTCCTTGCAGGATGCAAAACCAGACAGGGCTAATGTCACTGAGAAGGAGATTCCTACCTGAAAGGTTCTCACTCCTTAAAATTAATAGAAAATCTGCAGTCATTTTCACGTTAGTAATTCCTTAGGGCACAAAAATACCTCGCACCACCGCTTATTTGCTACAGTGCCTATAAATACGCTACTCCATTATTTCTTTTATTTCTGTAATTCTTGTTTGTTTAGCAGTTATGCTCTTTTGGCATTTTCTGAAGAGCAGACATAAGGCATTTCAAATGCAATTAACCACACTTGATATTCACTCATTACTGGAATTATATTTTCTTTATCAATAATATATTTTAAGTGCTTTTCACTTAGAGGAACCTCTCCAAACTACTCAGGTAGACAGGCAGGCAGACGATGGGCAGGAAAACTGTCCATCAGCATCCTAATGGATGAGATGTTAAGGGACAACATGCAGACTAGTTCTTGTGACTCATGACTAACTACATCAATTCTGTTGATTCAGAAATGTAAAAAAAAATATATTAAAAAACCACAAGATATAGAACAAAATCTTCCAGCACTGCCTCTCACAAATCAGAGAATTCGCAGAGCATTTTGAAAAGACTCTCAGAGATGCAAGCTACTCCTGACCTAGCTGGCAGCAAGCAAACCTAAAGAAGGTGGTGACAGATTAAATAGGACCAAAAAATGCATGGAGACACTTAATGTTCTAAAAGGATTTTTGCTTTTAATGCTTTATTTTTATAGTCACCTAGCAATACTTTGCTGTAAATAAGATACACCACTAATCTGTTTCCAGTACAGAAACAGTACCTAGACAGTACCCACGGAAAAGGGAACAGGGGTCTAAAATCAAGTTACACCTACATCGTGCTCCATAGTTGCGACACACTCACTATTGTAGTCAGATTTCAACTTGAAGGTGGAAAAGCTGTGCAACTACTGATCAAGACACACCCCAGACGAGCATCCTCGTCAACCAGAACAAAAAACCCTGTGAAATTAGCTCTGCAATTTGTCACGAGACGGGTAACTTAAGTTACCTGTGAAGAAATGAAAGCTATGTCTGGATTTCAGACAACTTCTATTCTCAGCCAGCAACACTAGAATTTCTACAGTCAACTGGTGCAGAGAGTGCATTTATTACCACGCTCTTGTTTGCAGAATAGAACAGCGGTCATTAACAATAAATACAAAAAATCAAGGCAGGTCTTTGAAACACAAGAATTACTTCATGAAATTTGTTCCACTTCTGAAAGAAGGAAAACGAACCCATAAATCAAATACGATTTTTAAAAGTAACAGCACACTTGTTGGTATACAAAGGCATGAAAAACAACAAGAGCAGCTTTACAAGAAGTTTACTTCACTTCGATGTGGCTGTGGAGGTGACAAGCCACACAAGAGACACCGGGATATGCAGAAGCATCAAGAGGGCTTGGATAAATGGCCACTGATTTTGCTTATGGAATGTTTAACATCAAGGAAGGAAAAATAAGAAACAAATGGAGTTTTACCTGATAAATATCAGAGAGGCTGCTGCTCCCAGAATCACTGGCAATGCTACATCCCGACTGGCTTGAGGGGACGTGAGTCACCTGAGGATGAGGATTGTCGGTGAGATGCATCTTGGTAAGATCTGCTGGAAGCTGTAAATAAAACAGATTTGGGGAAAGGCAGGAAAAAGAAAAGGAAAACAAAATGTGTCAGTCTGATTTGAAGACAAAGTTACTCACAAAACTTTTATTGCATATTTGAATGTCCACCTGTTACCTGATGTGCATTTTGAGAAAAAGCTAATTTAGGTTAAGCTTGCCCAACCACATTCAGATTTATATGACTGATATAAAATGATGTGACTTTCTATTAAAAAAAAAAGGTCTAGCCTCTTCACAGCTAACAGATGTACACCAACAGGATTAAGAGCATATAAGATGACAAATAGATGATGCTGGCCAAATAGCCCAATCTTAAACATCAGCTTATGTTACAATGCAATATGAAGCAGGATTCCTGTTTATAAACTCAATTCATGCCTTAGTTCAAGAATAACCTTTAGAAAATATCGATACAGAACAAAAAAGCAACAAACTCTAAACAAAAGTTCTGGTCCATAAAATGCTTTGCATTTTCTTTAAGAAAGCGAGCACACAGAAAGAACATTATACATTTTTAGTACAGGTATGTACGACAGTATTTAATTGTAAATGCACACAGGCATACAGATACACAAATTTCAGTGCATGACTGAAGCCCACAGACATGTCCTTTCTGCTGAAAAAAATAAAAATCAGTAGCAGGCTTTTGAAGAACCAGAGCCACATGGAGTACTATTAAAAACCCCTCCTTTAATTCAGCTGTTTCTTTACTTTCTGCCACAAGTATTTCTACTATTTTAAATCTACACTTAACTATACGGAAAGAACATTTCCTCAGAGTATCATAGAATCTATGATAAAATTGTAAAATGCACATACGTTTACCCATTGTGAATTATAAAGTTTATATTCTATTCCTTTAAAAAAATGTTCTGATGCAGAAAAAGTCCAAAACTGCTCTGACAGCATCAAGTACCACGATCAAAATGAGAAAGTTTCTTCTGTAAAACAAACAGAACTCCACACAGTCCTGTCAGCCCCTAGAGACTCAGTCCTCTGAACTGAGACAATATCGTACAACTGTTGTTGTCTGGGTGTTAACTTTATAAATACTGACTAAACTTACAAGAAATGGAAACCAAGGCTTCATGAGGAATCATGTTTTCCTGTCCATTTTTTGAAGAGCACAGAAGAGAAGCACTTTACCAAATTTCCCCCCACATATTTTCTGAAACCCTGAGCAGCACCGTGCATCTTTCCGAACCTTCCTCACTCCCCAGGAAAAAAAGGAAAAGAAAGAAAAGAAAAGAAGGAGTCGTCCAGAGCACCTCTGACACACGTAACATAACTCTGCTTATTAAAGTTGTTATACGTGACACGGGGTATGCCGTGTCATCTGCAATTGCCAATGTCATCCAGACTGCCAATTGCTGCTCAAAGCCAGCCGTCCTCTGGGCCTGAAAAACCAGCACAGATCGCTACTTGCAAAGTAACGCTAGGAACTGAAAGACTACAAAGGTAATTCTCACTATCATAATATTTACATCATTCTGGTTTTGTATATACTTTACTTACAAAAGGAAAGTATAAAATATCCAACTTGTAAATTAGTATCTATGCTCACATGTATTTGGGAAAGAAGGAAGTTTGAAAAGCGAGAGATTGCTAAGCTTTCACAAACGCCCATAAAAAAACCATCCAAGCAGTAAGTATAAAACAGTGAACTTGATCCAAATACAAAGGAAACACAGCACTTTGAAGCCTATGTTTAGCCACCAAAAAAAAGTTTTACAGGCTGAAAAAAATCTATTTTCAGGACCTGAGAACAGCAAAGAGGTCAAAGCACTCAGCTGACAGAATTCAATCCGGTGGCCAAAAGGTATGCTCGCTGTCAGCGCAGCGTAAGAGCTGACGGACACCGAGATGTGACCTCTTCAACAACAGCAAGAGGAAAGTAGAAAAGTTGAGAATTAATTCTGGTCTGGAGCCCGAGCCGATTGCTTTTGCAATCCAAATGAATACGTCGACACTACACACTTTTGTGCCAGGTACAGAAAAGCACTCTGCGTACTGCTAATGGACACCAGGCAGAAAGTGTTACATTATCTTCCTTCAACCCTGCGGCGATTTGGCCATTAGCTAAGCCACGGGTATTTCAGCAATGCCGACAGCAGCACTGATGGAGGTTGTTCCCCTCGTCTTCCCCGTCTGCCGCCTCTGTGACGGCGGCCGGAGCAGCCTGTGCCGCAGGGTGACACCGCTCCGCTGCTCCCCGGGGCTGCCACAGCAGTCGGCTCCTCTGCAAACACGCCGCAGCGCTATCGGCCGCCCCGACACGCAGAAAGGCACGGACGGGCAAGGTCAGTGCATCATCTGCCACGGAGGACGACATCCAGCAGCTACCCAGTATTTGCTAGCAAATTGCCAGGCAGAGCTGATGTGCTGGAGGTCAGTGTAACTGAAAAATTCAGGAGTCTTAGTAAATTATGGAACAAATCGACCCACAAAAATTCATTACCCACAGCTTAACAAGACCAGAGTTCTGCTGCAAATTCCTCAGCCTGTCCCTATCTTTATAGCCTCCATAGTCCAACCATCAGCTTCAAGTTCAGCTTCAGTCAGACTTCTTTCCATCCATGAGCAAGTCCCACACTGACAGTGAGAATACAGACAAGAGGAAATCTAACCGAAGCTCCCTGCTATCCAGATCCATACTGATTTTCAAACTCTCAAAATGGCTCCAGGAAAAGAATGAGCAGAGCCAGAAGGAGAAACAATCCTGCAGGATTTCCCAGGAGAACAAGGGCAGGTGCCAGCTCTCTACCAAAAACTAGTGCTACCGAAGCCCATTCCGACCCAAAGACCGCGACACACACCAAAACGCACTGCCACATACAGTCTTTCTCCCCTAATTTAGTGTTAATTTTGGGATTCTTGTGATGAAGGCTGTTTTATACACCTAGGTTGAGAAGTGCTGCCGGAGGAAGACATGGCTCTCAAAATACAGAAGTTGTGTATTTACTTTGCATGCCATTTTCACAAATACACATTAAAAACCAACTCAAAACACCACCGCGCTTCCCAAAGGAGCACTTCTAATCAACTCATTAATCACAACTGATCTTCACTCCCCCTGCCAGCACTCCCATTCACTTCCATCACCTATAAAACACATGGGCTCCTACGATGCTTCTGCTGGACTCCGCAATACGTTCTTGTAAAAGACATTTAATGCAGGCTAGATGCAAGGGAACATTGCAATATCTCTTTAAATTTGAGAGAGAGATAAGGTTTATTTGAGACAAGTGACCTTTAAAGTGCTGCTTGCCACTCTACTCAATCTCCCAAAATAAATCACAGCTTCTGTCTTTTGTACGTCATTTTTATTACCCAGACTGATTGTTCTCTCTCTCAGAGCTCACTAAGCAGCAAGACATGGATAGGACGGTTCTGTAACAGCATGACAGCGGATGCGGGAAGGACTTGCTGGATACGGTTGTGAAGCTGCTTAAAGTGCTATAACATAATCTTAACTATTGGTGAATGATGTTCACTTATTATTCCACTGGTTTTTCTGTGGGAGAATCTTAGAAACTGATTGCATCAATATCTTGAACAACTATGGATTAGGGGAATAAATTCCAAATAGCAAGATTCACCTATGTCCAGGCTTTCAGGCGCAGACGTACCTACCTGCACGATCTCCTGGCTATAGTGTGCACGCACCAGCAGCCACAGACAGGAAAACCCTGAAATTCTGATAAACACTCGATCCAGAAACAGACTGTGTACTCGGACTTCAAGCCACAGCAATTTCATTTTTTCACAAGAAGGTATAATCTGGAATTCGAATATGAGTGCATCCGACGCGCTGGCACAGCCAGTCCTTGCATCGGTGCCAGCCCATCCTTGTGACTGACCTTTCCCAACAAAGGGATATTTAGCACCAAACCCCCTGCTGAAATGCCGTACTGCGGGGTTCAGAGCTGGACGCGAAAGGAAGTTAAGAAAACAGAAGTTACAGTCTGCACAGCCGCCTACAGCTCTGCCCTCCCACGGAGTCAGGAAAATACAGTTGGTGATTACACCAAAAAAACCTGACTCAACAAGGGAATTTTTAAAGACGTATTACAAATTGTAAGAAAAAAGGACAGAAAAGCCACCAAATCCTTCAGAAGCTCATCCCAACGGTAGCGTCAGTCTGTCTTACCACACAAACCCAGAAGGAACAGCAGCCTGGACTGCTTTTGTTCGCTATATGCGAGATTTCTGCAGGTCGTACACAGGGGCCACCCCATCCTGCTCACGGGCTCACAAAGTGGTAACGCTGGGGAGACGGGAGGGCAGAGGACATGAGACTGCAAAAGCTGTTTCTGAGCAACAGTTGACAAAAATTACATGCCCAAGATACTAAACTCTACCCACAACCACCCTGAAAACACCCACGAAGTGAAGAATCCATGAGGTTCACCAGGAGCCTGGCTTCTGCCATCGATGTCATGGGTGCAGCCACCCCGCACTGAAGTAAGGGGCAGCAGCACTTCTGCTGCTAAACCAGAGAAACCCAAAAACTCCCTACGAGCCCAAACCCTGTCCTTTCTCCTACTGCATAATCCAGAAACTCTCACATTACAAAAACCAAACATGAGCTGTATACACAACTGCTTTTTGTCCTACCTGGACAGAAAGAATGTTCAAGTCTTGCACATGCCATGGAGACAAATTGCATCGAGAGACTGATTTATAGATATGAACGGAAAGGCAGAGCTGGAGTGGCAGAGCTGGGACAGCGCTGCTGCTCTGAAGGGCTGGACAAAGCAGAGGGACATAAAAACACAGGAACAGGACACTGTAAAAGCAACGAAGCGTGTAACAGAAGAACGCCTGCTCGTATTTGTCCTTGGGCATCCCTGGAAAAAAGGATGGTCCTTGGGAAAGGTGTGGTAATGGCTGAAACCCGGGAAGGTTGTGTGGGGGATGAGGGAGGAACCAGAAGATAACACAGACCCTTCAGCATCCACCACTGCCCCAAGGTGTCCCAGGAGAAACTG